AATCACCCCCCAGGGGGGATGGTCACACCGCAATCCTTTCTCCTCCATTCTCCTCTCGGGATCTTGGGCACACACCCACACGCGCCTGGCGTGAGTTTTAAGCCACTGGGTCTGGGACATGAACCACAGTTGACTACGTGGGAGTCCAGCAACATAGCCATTACTCTAACTGCTGGTTCCCAAGTGTGGCTAATCTTTACCAGAAGATCAGAAAAAGCCTGGGAGGCCAGGGAAGCATGGGTAGAAATCCTGAGTCATATACAGGAATTCTAATTGGATTGGCATAGTTAAGATCAAAAGTATACAGTACACATTAGTATCTTATCTTCAGTGTTTGCCTTTAAAGGGTTAATGAACACAAAATAAAGCACAGGTTAGTCTGCTTGGTTTTGAATAGTGAAGGAATTTCCCCAGCATTTATATATTCATATAACCAGTTACATATAAGCCTAAATAAAAGACTACTTTTCCATAGATTTTGGTTTTCTTTTTGCTTTTCTATTAGAACTTTTTGCTTTAGGGCACATGCACTTTCTGGAGAAGAAAGATAGAGTGAGAAGGAAAAGGAGAAATCATTCTTCAGGGAGGATGGCCATGCCACAACCGCTTCTCCTTCATTCTCCTCCTGGGATCTTAGGCACATATGAAATGTGTCTGATGTGATTTTCAAGCCACTACATCCATGACTTAAACCATAATCAACCACATGGGATTCCAGCAATTTATTCCCTATCATCTATTGATTTTCTTAACAGAAATTACTTTCAAAACTTTAAAAACCAATAGATTTCATTTAATCATAAACCAGTCTTACCTACAACAGGACTGTCCAACAAAAATATCCCATCAGCCAATCATTTGATTTATGCTGTAGGATATCGATTAATTATAGTACTCATAAAAAATGAGACATGGGGGAACCAGCAGTTAGTGTAATGGCTATGTCGTTGGACTCCCACGTAGTCGACCGCAGTTCACATCCCGGACCCGGTGGCTTAAAACTCACACTGGGCGTGTGTGCATGCGTGCCCAAGATCCCAAGAGGAGAATGGAGGAGAAGGGATTGCCTCATGACCATCCCCCCGGGGGGTGATTTCTCGCTTTCTGTCTCTATGTCTCTCTCTCTGTCTGGCGAGCGCACGCCCCCTATAGCGAAAATCTCTCAAAAAAAAAAAATGAGACATGGGTCCAGTAGGTGTTGTTGCTGATGTACTGAACTACACAACTGACCATGGTTTGAGTCCCAGACTGAGAGGTTTTTCACTGTTGTTGTTTTTTCCCCTAAATTTCCATTTTTCTCCCTCTGTCTCTCTCTGATCAAATTAAAAAAATAATAAAAAAACAGTTTCTGAAAACCTTCTAATAGAACTACCATATTATCCAGTAATTCCACTCCTGGATATCTACCCAAAGGATAGAAGAGCACTCAGTTGGAAAAGCGTTTTCACAGCTATCTTTATTGCAGCATTATTCACGATTGCTAAGACATGTAACCAACCCAAATATTCACAGACTTTTTAATGGACTGAAAAATTGATGCACATGTACTCCATGGAATACTATTCATTCATTAAAAAAACAACAAGGCACAGGAATTTGATATAAAGTGAATGAATATGGAAGATTTGTTTCTGAGTAAAGCAAATTAGGCTATGAAAGAGACATTGTATGTTGCCACTTAACATATACTGACTGTCCACACTCTATGGTAGAGATTGAAAGACTGTAAAACATAAAAGTATTAAAAATTATAATGGACACTAGAGACAAAGTGAAAAGAGAGTGTGGAAGGAGAAGAGCATAGGAAATTTGCGAGGAAAATGGAGAGGTAAGACATTTGTGGGATACAGATAAGATATATTATCTGTTGACGAGGATGTATATAGTGGTCTCAACTGGGCTGGACTGATGTGTATATTGTGCTGTGTAAAATCTCTTCACAATCTAAATGATGTATGAAAAATAATAATAAATAAAAATAAATTAACAAATATAAATAAAAAAGGAAAACATTTCTGTTTTGACATAAATAAGGGAGTGGCCAACATTTTAAATTTTTTAAGAGTTTTGCTATATACAGGACACATGCATTGAATAGAGAGAAAGAGATAAAGTGAGAAACTTGATAGGGGGATGTCCATGCTGCAGTCCCTACTCCTCCATCCTCCTCTCAGAATTTGGGAAATGGATCTTCACATATTTTGACATGGGTTCATGCCACCAGGTCCAGAACTCAAATTGTAGTCAGCCATGTTGGAATCCAGCACCTTATCCACTAGGCCATCTGCTTTCCATCCACTGGCCAACTCTTACTGATGGATACCTTTTTCAAGATAAGCTATCAACTCTGCTCTTTCTGTCTCCTTTTTAATGCCAGTAAAAATGATTTTTGTTCCTGGGAGATACTTTTTGGGATTCTCCAACTACTCCATCAGTGTATCCTCTCCCAAGGTTATGAATGCCTTTGTTCTTGTTGGCATTTGTGTAGGAGAATCCAGGAGCCTGACTTGTCTTATACCTAAGTAGACTAGAGACTAGGGCCAGTCTTGTGCTTCTCTTCATTTTTCATGGTGTAGCACTGGGCACGTTTTGAACAAAAATCTTGCTGTGAGCCAGCAGGTGGTGTGGTGGTTAGGGCACTGAATGCCCACATGGATGACTACAGTTGAACTCCTAGATCTGGTAAATTGAAAAACATGCTAGGTGCATGTGTGTCACATCCCAAGAGGAGAATGGAGGAGAATGAATTGTGGTTTGGCCATCCCCACTGGGAGGGGGGGAATGAAATCTCACTACCCTTCTCTCTGTCTCTCTGTCTTTCTTTCTCTCTCTGGCAAGTGAATGCACTCTATGCAAGAAAAAAAAGAACAAAACAAAACTTCTTGCTTTTCTCAATATCACCAATTTTAATTTTCTCCTTTGTCATTCATGCTACAAATGTTCCTGCTCAGAATTCAGACATCTTATCTCTCCTGAAATATTTTTAAACCTCCTCCAGAGATGGGGAGTGAGTGGTCCTTTCTCTGAAATACATAAGTCTCAAAGGAAACATTCCTGCAGAGAGTAAATAGCCAATTATTACAGAGTATTAATACTGAACTTCATTTTAGAAAACTTGAATAAATCCTTCTTATACTATGTAAAAAGAGGTCAGTGTTACCCTTCAACATAGTATAAAAGGATTTATTCAAGTTTTCTAAAATGAAGTCCAGTATTAATACTCTGTAATAATAAATAAATACATTTTACAATGTAAATTTACTATAAATTTCCTAAAAATACATTGTAAAATGTAATGTGACTTATATGTAGAAATTTGAGTTAAACAAGGTGAATACATGCTACTGAAGAGTTCCTTAGGGATTTTAATATGATAAATATATTGTAAATTCCCAGTAAAGAAATATGTAGTATTTATCAAATCTCCATAAGAAAGTCATCTGTTAAGTAATTAGGTCACTACTTTTGCACATGGCTGACCATGGCTTAAGTCCTAGACCTGGGAGCTTGCTTTCTCACTTTTCCTCTCTCTCTTTCTGGTCAAATTAAAATAATAATTATAATAAATGAATAATTCTTTAAAAAATAGAATACACATTAATATTGACTAGGATTTTTCTGTCCTATAGAAATGAAGGTCTTTGATTCTGTAAATTTTGTTAACTCAAAGGAAATAGAAAATCTATTCAACACTCAACTTTATTGCTAAAAGAGGGTAGTATGGTTACAGCAAGTGGTGTGAAGGTTACACAGTGGATTCCACATGGCCAACCTCATGGTTTGAGTCCAAGATGAGACAGGTTGAAAACCATGCTGCATACATGCCCAAAGTCCTGAGAGTAAAAACAGGAAAAGGGATTGCAGCATGACCAATTCCACTGGGAGGAGACTTTTTGCTTCTACCTTTCTCTATCTTTCTGGTGTGTATGCCCTACAGCAGGAAAAAAAATTACTATCAAGTGAAAAAAATGCACAAATGAGAATATAACAAAGTAATATGTTAACTAGATGTGTTACAAGTAGGGCAGAAAACCAGTAACATGATCACTATCATATTTTAAGCCATTTTGTCCACATGTAAAACGCAAACAAACTCACTTCTAATCTCTATACACCTGTGAAAACAGGGACCAAACCACAGAGTGCTTTCAAGTGAAAAAGAAAAGAGCCAAATATGAGAATTAAGTACAGACAGGACAAGCAGTTGGCATAATGGCTATGTAGCTGGACTCCCATGTAGTTGACTGAGGTTCGAGTCCCAAACTTCGTGGTTTAAACTCATGGCAGGCACATGTGCATGCATGCCCAAGATCCCGAGAGGAGAATGGAGGAAAAGGGATTGCAGCATGGCCTTCCCCCCGGGGGAGAATTTCTCATGTTCTGTCTCTCGTTCTCTCTCTATCTTTCAGTGAGCACATATGCCCTATAGTAAAAAAAAAAAAAGAAAAAAAAAAGAAAAAAAAAA